CCCCAAAACCCCAAAACCCCAAAACCCCAAAACCCCAAAACCCCAAAACCCCTTAATCAGGTTAATAAATTGAAATTTTTATTAGTTTATCATCATGATTATTAAAGCACATGTAGTGGTCTGTCTAGCTTTAATTTATTCTCAGATTGCGGTGATCGCATTTCAAGGAATAATAGCCTACGGAGCATACTATTACCATTCCAGTAACCCTGAAGCTGCACGAAGTCTCCAAAACTGTATAAATCCATCAGGTAACTTTCTAATAGAAAATATTTTGAAGAAATTAAAAATAAAATCACTCAAGACCCAATATCCACTAAAATTAAATATCGAACCTTTACCTTAACTGATCAAATTTCTCTTCAACAAACAAAGCCCAGAGCATCTACTCTCCTTAATGGCATTTCCAGATGGATCTACCTTATTTGAGTCTAAGTTACTCTCAAAGTATAAGCTCACTCTTTTTCCTCTCTTAAATGTATAAAGTCAAATCCCCACTGATTCGTACTTTCTCTAATCTCTTGTACAGCTGAATTTTGGTTTAATTCTGACAGAAATCTGATGACCAAAGGTGAGTCTTGGATATGACACTTTAGAACCATCCACTTGGGAACAGTTCAGTTATGAAATACTCTACATGCCAGCTAACCTTACTTACTATGTAGCTCTTGTTATGTTTATAAAGAACAATATAAGATCAAGCAAAACATGGGTCACTAAATGTGTAGGATTCTTTATCTGTATTCTCTCCTTTATCACTACAAGCAGAGACTTTGGATTGATCATCTATAGAATGTTCGAGTATGAGTTGAATAGCTGGGTGCACTATCCGATATTTATCTATCTGTTCATCCTTCTTTTCCTTGTCAATAACATTCTTCTAATTCAAATCTTTGCATTCTTCCAAAGTTACAAGTTCTTTGGTCTCAAAACAGACGAGACGATATTAAGCTCAATTATTGGAGTTTACCACATTTTTCAAGGATTATGAGTTGCTGGAAGTTTCTTTATCATGCCTTATTTTAAATTCATGATAGACAATATGTACATTGTTGTTCTTCAGAATTTATTCTGGGCTTTTCTGATTGCTTACAGTTTACGCCTTAGAGAAAGATACAAAAGTACAAGAGCAGGTATTAATTTTTGGACTGAATGGCTGTTTACTTTATGTCTCAGTCTTCATTTGTCATTCACAGTGGACTATTTTTATATCTTTGAAGGTACTCAGCATTCAGTATTAATGAAGATAGTTTTATGTCTGGTATTTTTAATGATTCATATTGGCTTAATTCAAGTATATTTGATCCACCAATCATATTTTTGAAAGCCTTATATTCCTCCATGTGGTAGAGAAGGAACTCAGAGAATTCTCCAGCTCGATTATGATTGTGAGAACAACAGCATAAATGATCCTGAAAACCTAAAGTGAGACTATTGCATGAACAATCTCTTAGAGCCTTGTCTTGAATATATTTCAATTACTTCTAAGAACGCTAAAACCTACAAGAAGCTAAAACTGATCCCTCGTGTCTACATCCAGACCAGATGTCCTTCCAACCTGCATCTAGAATGCTTTTTCAGGTCTTATGACTCTACCTACAGCTGCCCAGTCTGAATGTCTAGTCTGAACGGAGAGCTTATGAAAGAAGATGATTATTATGAACTTTATTGATAGTCTTTTCCCAATCGACTTGTTCAATATTCTAATTTGCTCTTGGGGTTTTGGGGTTTTGGGGTTTTGGGGTTTTGGGG